TCTAAACCAGTCTAAACCAGTCTAAGACCAGTCTAAGACCAGTCTAAACCAGTCTAAGACCAGTCTAAACCAGTCTAAGACCAGTCTAAACCAGTCTAAACCAGTCTAAGACCAGTCTAAACCAGTCTAAGACCAGTATAAGACCAGTCTAAACCAGTCTAAGACCAGTCTTTAAAGGAAGTCAAACACGTTTTACATCAGAGATGAACTGTTTACATCTCGCTAGGTTTACTTTTCTTTTCTGAGATCATGAAATGGAAGAAGTATGAGGACTCCTAGATTTTTGATGAATCAATAAAAAACAACAGTTTCATTTCACAGATGTTGGTTTTTGTTTAAGGTTCTTTGGCATGTTCTTACCATGTTCTGGAGATGCACGAGTGTAAGCTTCAGCAGCTGGGTTATTGGCAGAGCTGCAAACATGAGTTTGTCCTGCAGAGAGAGACAGAAGCTTCAGTCTGGAGGTGAAAACTCAGGAACAAACGTTTCAGCCCGTCGTGTCCTCAGCTAATCTTTGTGTTTGGACCAAAACGTTTCTGTAAAATGGTCTCAAGTGATTCGTGTAAACATCACATCCAACAGTCCGGTGATAAGCAGGTTGTAGAATTCTGCCCCCCCAACGACACCAAAGATCTGAAAATGAAAAATGTCTGCTCATTATTTAAGTTTTGATCAAACTCGTGCTGCACGTACTTCCTGTGGAGCAGGAGATGGGGTCACTGGTGGACCGGACGATGCGGGCCAGTTTGCGGTACCTCCTGGCTGCTCTGAAAGTCCGAGGCCTCTCTGAGGGGGACGGGCCACTTTGGCTCAAGGAAGATGGGGGCTGTGATGATGAGGAGGGTGACCAAACGCTGAAGCACAGCCTGGGGCCTCGTGGCCTGGCAGGAGGGGACGGGGAAGGGGAGGGGGCCATTGGGCTGATGGCTGAAGTTCCACCAGAGGAGGCCACAGAGGTGGGGGAGCAAGGCTGTGGCGGTGGGGGGAGAGTGACGGGGAGGGTGAGCTTCCTGCTCATCATTCGTGCTTTGATCAGAGAATGTGCCGGCGCTTTCTGCGGCTCCTCCGGTAAATGTTTGGCTGAGGCCAGCTCGTCACAAATGTGCACGGCAGCCCTGAGTTCCTCACATGGATGTGCGTTCTCCGTCGAGTCCTCCTGGTCTAGATTACTAAAGTTCTCCGAGGACCAGTCTGGCGAGCGCTCCAGGGAGTCCTGGGTGTGCGAGGACTCGCTGTAACCCGTGTCACTGGGGCGAGCATCATCGTTAGGAAAACCACGATGGGAGGAGGCACGGGTGTAAAGTTCCAAACTGGTGCAGCTCCCGTCGGTGGGGGCCGCCTGCAGCGTGCCGAATGGAGAGGAGTCAGAACCCTGCACCTCCAGGGAGCACAGATCCTCTGAGGAGCAGGTCTGGTCCTGATCCACCACCTCCGACACCATCAGCGAGGCACTGTCCACCGAGGCTGAAACAACAGGAATCATCATTTGATCGTCTGCAGCTGCTCGCCTGTTAGAAAGTTCCTCACGATAAACGATACATTGATAAAAATTGATCACTGACATCATTGTCAGTGATCAATTTATACTTAACAGATTTTAATGAAACCATAAGAAAGGAATCATCTGGGATACGCACTGATTAACTTTTGGACTCAATCCAAATCAAGATGGCTGCCACAGCTAATGTTCATTCAACTTTATTTCTACAGGTTAGTCTCATCGAGCCCCGAGGACTCGTTTACAACAAAGACCTGATTAACACAGACGAGCTGCAATGAACTGGAATAAAACACAAATAAAATGAAAAGTCAATTAAAGTAGTGATTTGAAACGAGCTAAAATCAAGCTAACATTATGAAATGAGCTAAAATACTAAAAACAGGAACTGTGTTGATTTTTGCATTGATTACTGATTTATTGATTATTATTATAATTAACCTAAGAAACCCACAAAAAGACTAAAAGTCACTGAGTATTAGACACGGATTGAAAATTGGATGCAGTAGTAGCTGAGCATCGTCCCAAACACACTTTGAGCACAACGCACTGCTTCAGATCTGTTTGAAACTTTGACTTAAACTCCTGTTTGTTAGCAAAATATTTAATTACTCATTGTAAACAAAAGCAGAAAGTAATTACTGACAACTGCTGACATTCAGAGCTAGCTCTGTTCAAGATGGCTGCCACAGCTCAGCACCCGACACAAGCGTTACGTCAGTGAACAGATGTTACCCTGCGCGCTGAGCCCTGCAGCGGTGCGTCTGGACCCAGTGGCCGGCTGCTCCACGCTGGTGGTCACCTGCAAATGTCACATTACAAGGACAATAACTCATCTGTTGCATAAACATAGATATTTTATATGTTGTGTAAGTGTTGCATGGAAGCTGTGGGACATAACCTGCAGCCCAGCAGAGAGGGCTGCATCAGAGCCAACAGTCATTTCTAATGTTCAGAACCAGTACAGAAAACCAGCATATCCTAAAAACTTGAACAAAAAGTTTAATTTGAATCAGAAATGTTCTTTTTTTTAGTTTTGAAATATTACTCTAAACTAAACTGGATTTTTTTCCTCTTTTTTTTATCTTCTCACACATAATCAGCTGCTCAAGTAAATAAACACTTCATTAATTTAAAAAACGACCAAAATAAACAATAACCTGCCAAATTAGCATGTATAACAGAAGAGTGGATTAAAAGTCCATCCATCCATCCATTTTCTTTACCCGCTTATTCCATTTTGGGTCACGGGGGTCGCTGGTGCCCATGTCCAGCAATCACTGTGAGAGGGGTGGGGGACACCCTGGACGGGTCGCAAGTCCATCACAGGGACACATAGAGACAAACGAGACAAACAACCATTCACTCTCTCACTCACACCTAGGGACAATTTAGAGTTACCAATCAGCCTAACATGCATGTTTTTGGTCTGTGGGAGGAAACCGGAGTACCCGGAGAAAACCCACGCATGCACGGAGAGAACATGCAAACTCCACCCAGAAAGGCCCCTGGACCGGGGTTTGAACCAGGGACCTGCTCACTGAGAGGCAGCAGCTCTACCAGTTGCACCACCGTGCTGCCCGGATTAAAAGTCTCGGGCGTTAAATTACAATAACACTTTAATACAAGATAAAAGGATTTAGCTTCACACTAATTAGTTTTATACAATGACTGGATGCAACAAAGACCAAAGCTCTAATCACCTCAACAGAAGAAAGTAGTAAAAACAAACAAACAAACATCATCATGACACAATTATTAGAGACACATTCACCTCCAGATCTTAGGCCATGGTCCTCAACCTGAAAAGAGTGGATTGTTCTCTTCAAGTCGAGGGTGAGGTTCTGCTCATGTGGAGCAGTTCAAGTATCTCAGGTTCTTGTTCATGAGTGAGGGAAGAATGGAGCGTGAGATTGGCAGACGGATCGGTGCAGCGTCTGCAGTGTAGTGGACTCTGTACCGGTCCGTTGTGGTGAAGAGGGAGCTGAGCTGTGAGGCAAAGCTCTCTGTTTACCGGTCGGTCTACGTTCCTCCCCTCACCTCTGGACATGAACTCTGTGTAGAGACTGAAAGAATGAGATCGTGGATCCAGGAGGTTGAGATGAGTTTCCTCTGCAGGGAAGCTGAAATTCAGTTATCAAGAGAAACTCAGAGTAGAACCACTGTTCCTTCACATCCAGAGGAGCCAGTTGAGATGGTTCAGACATCTGGTAAAGATGCTCCTTTGAGGAGACCCCAGGGGAGACCCAGGACACGCTGGAGAGTCTATGTCTCTGTGCTGGTCTGGGAACACCTTGGAGTCCTCCCAGAAAAGCTGGGAGGGATGATCACTGAGTGGGAACTGGTGTACTCATTCCAGATGGAGCACAGGTGCACGTACGTATCTATGGCCAAAAAAAGAACTGTGGCCATGAAGCATTAACAAAAACCTAAAGCTGTTGGGTTGAACAGGTAACAGAAAACAACACGGGCAGAAATAAATTCTACAGAATCAAACAAAGTGAAATTACAAGAAAATACTGAGTTCAAGAAAGGGAAGCAGAAACTGTAACAAAAGCATGTGTCATCGTCACCTGGCTGGCAGGGGTCTGGCCCACCACAGACTCGTATGGAGGGGGCAGGTCCGTTGGATAAAGGGTCCCTGGACTGTTTATAGGCACCCCGTAGATGGCACTGAAGGGAGAGTGGGGGAAGTCCAGATGTAGACCTCTGTCAGGGACACAACATCAAAACGAATAAACTCAAGTTTTATTTACAAATAAAAGTGAAAATACAATGAATGGGTAAAGTAAATCATAAACATTGGTACAAAAATGTGAATTTAAGAGTAAAAAATACAGCACTTTCAATGAAAACGTTAAGAAACAGAGTGAAAGACACGGTTTTGTTACAAACGCTCAAATCCAGACGATCTGTTTCATTGTTCTCAGCTGGTTCTTCTGCTGCCACTCAGGAAGACGCAGCCACATGTTCTCATCTCTTTTAATTACAAACATATTCTCTACTGAAGTGGCAGAGCATGAAATACAACCTGAGCTTCCACCAATCATCAGAGGCTTGATGATGTCATGGCAAACCCCTGAGGCTTGATGAGGTCATGGCACACCCCAGAGGCTTGATGATGTCATGGCACACCCCAGAGGCTTGATGAGGTCATGGCACACCCCTGAGGCTTGATGATGTCATGGCACACCCCAGGGACTTGATGATGTCATGGCACACACCAGAGGCTTGATGATGTCATGGCACACCCCTGAGGCTTGATGATGTCATGGCACACACCAGAGGCTTGATGATGTCATGGCACACCCCTGAGGCTTGATGAGGTCATGGCACACCCCTGAGGCTTGATGATGTCATGGCACACCCCTGAGGCTTGATGATGTCATGGCACACCCCTGAGGCTTGATGATGTCATGGCACACCCCTGAGGTTTGATGAGGTCATGGCACACCCCTGAGGCTTGATCATGTCATGGCACACCCCCGGACACTCAATGTTTCCTCTGATGTGTTGATATTTATGGCAAAGCTGACAAACAGACGTGGCTTACGGCCAACGAGGCAGCGCTCCTGCTCGTAACACTGACACAAATGGAGGGAGTTATGAAGACTGTGTGTGTGTGTGTGTGGGGGGGGGGGGTCATCTGAGCTACTAAAGCAGCTTAATGGGGGGAAATGCTCCAGGCTTTCTGAACCAGAGCAGCACATGTGATTGTCACAGAGAGATAATGAATATTTGCATAATGCTCAATGTGGCAGCTTTGATGAAGCTTTGATGCCTCAGCAGACGGCATGATTCATTCAAGATCTGCAACACGTTCAAACATTTCACTAAATCTTGTAATAGACACTGCACCACACCAAAAATACAAAGATCCCCTTTACATTGACTCCACTTTTATCTGAACAAGCAGTTTTTATTCTTCAGTGTTCTCGTTTCTACTCGTCCTCTGACCAACAAAGATCATCGTAGTCCACCAGCTGATGATTTAAACCTAGTTTTGTGGATTATTGCTTGATTTCTAAGATCTGAATCCTTCTTTGGCCTGTGGTAGATCAAATGAAATGTCTAGCATTGAATGCATATCACCCGCTGCCTTTCATCCCAGACTAATATGCATAAAAAATAAATAAAAGAACTGAGGTGCAATTTTTGCAATACTGTGAGAGAGTTCTGCTAAAACGTCAAATTTGAGGTCAATATCTGTAAAAATGACTAATCTTTTCTAATGTTGGCTGGCTGTGGCAACCTTCTTGAATTGGAGCAACTCCCAAAAGTTATTCATTTGTAAAGATATGTCCAATGAATGTTTTCTGCAACTTTTATTCCAATGTGTCCAGTGGATCAGTTTTTGCTAACAGAGACACACGAAACAAAACCATCCCAAAATGTATCTCTTCTTTCAAAAAGCGTTCAATACAAAAACAACTGGACTTTATTTGTAACAGAAGACGTTTCGCTCCTCATCCGAGGAGCTTTCTCAATTCAAAGAGCAGAGTCTCCTCCAGGAGGAACAATGTGGATTCTGTCCTGGCTGTGTAACACTGGACCAGCTCTTTACCCTCACTATGGATGGATGGATTTATGGATGGATTTATGGATGGATTTATGGATGGATTGATGGATGGATTGATGGATGGATGGATTGATGGATGGATTGATGGATGGATTGATGGATGGATGGATTGATGGATGGATGTATGGATGGATTGATGGATGGATGGATGGATGGATGGATGGATGGATGGATTTATGGATGATGGATGGATTTATGGATGATGGATGGATTTATGGA